GCGGCTAATGGAATATATTGAGTTTTCATATAATGTGACACATTTGAAAAGATCTGGTTTGAGTCTTCATCAGTTTTCGTTAGTTTTGTTTCATGGGCAGTCTCATCCTTTAAGATATGTGATCAAATGATTTTCTCTCTGGAGTAAAATGTCATTATCTACCCTTGCTGTGGGGAAGCTGAGACACAGTACAGAGATGCACAGCGTGAGCACAAATACAGCACAATGATCCCAAGACGAGGACTACTTTGTATCATTTTGTTTTTAAATTTTTTATGAACTGTACTAAAATGATTTGTAATAAACAAAAAAAAAAAAATCTGATTTTAAATATGCTGAAACTTCAGCATGATCAGAGCGCATGTGTTGCGAGGCATAGACAAGCAAAATATACAAGACCAGTGAGTTAGAAGGGTTCTCACATTGTTGCAAAGGCTACATCTCATTTTCATGCAGATCTCTCATTTCCTGTCTGATGAAGTCGTCTTGATTAGAAAAGACTTAATCATTCCAACACAAAAGCCTGTGGAGACACAAAGAGGGAGCTTGTGGTGCTGGCTGTTGATATTGTTCTATCAGACAGCTCGAAGGGAGGAAGTCCTCCGTCTGAGTTGCCAGGCTCGGCTTTTTTTTTTTTTTTTGGTGGGAGTGGAGGAGAGGGGAGGGAAGAGAGGGGAGGGAGGGGTGAGGGGGGGTGGGGGGGTTCTGGGGATAAGAGACTGCCCTGTTATCTTTGTGTGAAAGGTCACACAGGTCTAGCGGAAGAAGCAAAAGCAACAACCATCTGTGTTTTCCACACACTCTGGTGCGTCCATCCAGGGAGCGCGGACAGCCGGGCTGAGTGAACACACACATGCACACGGACATCACATCGCTCATCCATATCTGTGATGAAACATGCATTGTCAGAAGAAGTTGGAAAGCCCCCAGATATGTTTTCTCTCCTGTGATGTGTGCGTGGGAGTGTCGTTGTTTTTGCAGCGCACACAATTTATGCACATTGCTCACAATGAATGGTGTTGATTTATCTGAGGTCTTGTTCTGATTTTGTCTGTGTGTTTGTTTTTCATTTGTATGATACCTTCAAGGTCCATATTTCACTGTTCAACTATGAAGAATCACAAAGGAATGGATGCACTCCAGCATGATCGTGGACGCAGCCTTACACGTGGGCTCAATGCACATGTTCCTTCTCTTGCATGTTGTTACATAGGTCACACAAAATTGAATACAGCCACAGTTGTACAGCAGCTCTGGCAGAGAAGTGTGTTTCGTTAGCAGGAGGATCTGCATCCTCCCAGTCGCAAAACACTGGAGTAAATCCAGGCTCTGGGCTTCTCTGGAGAACCTGTGCACAGCACACACTTCACATGGACACACACACTTGTTCAGAGCAGATTCCATGTGGGAAATATGTGTTATATTGCCACGTGGGACATGAGTGTTCAGGGCCATTAAAATGGTAAACACAAACACACCGCAGAGATTGTGTAAATATAGAACACGGTAAAACCCTTCATAGATACGGACCACATTAACTCAACGGCCCCTCACAATGAAAAGACCCAACAGCGCTCGTTAATCTCTGACGCCAAAATGTTTTGACTGTGCCATTGTGCTTAATTTGGAGAGCACATAAATGCTGTGTTTCGTTGGGAGTTTTATATTGAATCAGTAAATCATTGTTTTTACAGTGCAGTTCGGTGGATTGTCTCTTTGGCGAAAAAAGAAAAAGAATAACAAAATTCATCCGTTATCAGAGTGTGACCTACTCTTTTGACTTGTGGGTAATTAACGGCAGGGTGACAGCTATTGTAGCCGTGGCCTTTTACTGCTGAGCAACAGTACTTTGTTTTTTTATAATGGAGAACTGCGGGCATTTTACCTTGGGTTAGGTTCATAGGACGGCCTTAACACAAACAGCTCTGCTGAAATGACGTGTATGTGATCACATGAGCCATGGGTACACCTCTCGATTATTTGGATCAGTTGACATCGGGGAAATCCACATTGTGATTATATCACGTCCAGGACACAGCGTCTTTGTTATTCAAATGACAACAATGATGTGGGTCGGTTTCATTGATTTCTTGTAGAGTTCTGAAGGCCCTGTGGGGAATCAAATCTGTATTTGCTGCTTTTTGATGGAGTGCTGACTTTCAAAGCTGCGTGTGTGTGTGTGTGTGTGTGTGTGTGTGTGTGTGTGTGTGTGTGTGTGTGTCTCCGGGGGGTTTGGTGGGAGGGGATCCTTGCTTAATATTGTTGGGAGATCGGAGTATTCAGTGCTGACAACAGGGTTTTCTAGTTTCTCTCAGGTTACGCAAAACTGTTTTTCTGCATAAAGACGCTTGAGTTTCGTGGGCACCAGCGGTTGATGTTGTTTTGTGATATAAAGTTTATATAAAATATATAAAGTCTGCTCTCTATTGTCCACTTTTATACATACCCTCTGCTCCAAAGTTCCTTGTTCAGAATCTAAAGCTCGGGGCTGTGTTCCCCCCACTAGGGATCAATAAAACATGCCAATAGTGATTTGATCCGTTACAGCAGTCAAGCGCTTTGCCGTCCAATTACAAAGGTTTTTGGGTCACCTTAAAGAGTGAAAGCCTGATTGCCCTTGTGTATCACATCAATACCTGAACTTATTAAACTAAAGCTACTTTGCATAACTGTTTTATTTAGTGCCTTATTTTCTCAGAAACCTTTTTCTGTTGCAAAGCTGCCACATACGTTAAAGAACACGTTACGTCCTGATGGGCCGAAACATTTGCATTTGCTTTCCAGTAATCGGCCGCATTGATGTGTGCTGTCACATAGCTGTAGTCTCAGAGGGGAATAAAAACACTCAGCACATCCATTGAGTCCAGTGTCCAGCGGCTGGCAATGCAGGTGTTTATAGATTGCCTCGGCTCTGGGAACAAGTTGCTGACCCCTTTCCCTGATCCCTTTCCTGTTTGGCATTGCGTGTGCAGCCGAGTGGAGGGGAGATGGAGTCTGTTTGTCCCCAGTTAGCACAGCATGTTTTTCCTAATGTCTCCGTTCCCCTTTTTTCTTCTCCAGTCCAGTCATGTTCCAGGTGGGGTGACAAACACGGCGCGCAACCACAGGCAGTCCAGGAAATTTTTCAGTACTTTGTCCAAAAAACATGTTTTGACCGCCTGTGCCACATCTGGAGGGATATTTATTCTGCAAGCCATTCTTTTCTGCGGCCACATGACACAATACTCTTGACAGGTTCTATTTGCGCACTCTGCAAAAGCAAAACATATTTTTGACAAATGAAACTGAAAAAAAAAGAGGTCGTATTTAGCAATTGTGAGTGGAATACTCTTGAGAGAGGGAATCTGGCACAGCCAAAAGTCCAGATTGGAGCTATCTTTAGTCGTGCAGTTCAAAAACAAAAGACTTTATGGCCACTATAAATGTGCTACTACTGACACATTAAAAACTGTCTTGGCATCAACACTCTGTAATGGTAATTACAGTTTCCCATTGTAACAAGTGGAAGCAAAACAATCGACTCACAGTGATTTCATTCTCTTGGTGCAAAAAACTACATGATTCAGCATCCTAACCACACAAATAAACAGCTTAATTACTGCAGCAAACACATTTGCCGCATCTTCAACACGAATGATTTCACATTAAATACCCTCTTTAGTGAGATGCTTAATAATTTAGAAATGGCATCATTATACTGAGCATTTAATGAGATACTGCAAAGACAAGATCCGGTAATGGTGACATGAACTCTATCTATAACAACCTCTTTGAGTCCGCCGAAGCTCTGCACCTGCAGCAGAGCTTCATTCTTCCTGCACCAAATTCCTGGAGTGGGAATTTCGCTGTGCATGATGTCTGCCGCTGCAGCAGCCAGGAGCAGAGCCCCGCGGTGCTCCGGCGCAGCTCATACTTCTGTTGAGCGTCTCTGCATTTCAACTCAACTCAGCTGGAAAACTCCACCAGAAGTCTGCAACTTTGTTTGACCTTCAAGGTGCGGGTGTTCGATCGTGCATGGGGAGCTGACAGATGAAAGACTCCAAGTGGGAGACGATCAGCCTCCCCCTGTGTTGCACAAGGTGCCTCTGTCCTTGAAAGCCCACATGGAGTCCCAGGCTCAACCTGGTCAAGGTTTGTCTGTTCCCCCGAACCGTTGGCCCCGATCAGATCCATCAGAGGTTACTTAAGGGGTTAACACCAACAACCTTTCCCATCTGTTGCTAAGGAAGTGTTGCCTGTTGTGCAGGAAACAGGGAGAGCGGTTTCCTGTTATGAAGAGAGAGGTTTTTAAAGAATTGCATTCATTCAATCATGCAACAGATGCCGGGCCAGGAAGCCCTGCCAATAGCAAAAGCTTTGGTGTCCTAGAAAAATTGTATTTGGGAACCTCTATGTTTCAGGAAATATATATGCCTACATACAGAGGCTGCCGAAGAAGCACCAAGGAGGATATATGCTCAATCTCTGAGCTCTCAATCTCTGACGAACGGTATAATCCTCCATATAAACACCTTTCCACAAAGATCTAATTAACAAAATGATGTACAAAAACACAACCGTAGATTTGATGCCCAGAATTAATCATGGCTTATGTCAAAATCCCTCACACTGAGTGGATTTGGCGTCGAGGCGTGCCACTGCTATTGTGGCACTCTGACCCCACATCTGTGGAGCAGTGTTCTAAAACAGAAGATAACCAGATGCGAATGAACAATTCCCCAGATGTTACGCCGTGCATTGCGATAGTGACAGAGAGAGAGAGAGAGAGAGAGACAGGGAGGAGGAGGAGGAGGAGGAGGAGAGAGGGTGGGAGAGGGTGTGTGTGTGGGGGGGGGGGGGGGGGGGGGGGGCCCCCCGCCTTAGGGGGGGCCCTCCCCAAAAAACACCTCCCGGTTCTCCCCAAAAAGCGACCCACCGAGGGGGGGGATAGACGGGGAGATGAATGACGCCCGGGGGAAAATCAACTGTAAATCCCCGGAAAACGAAGGTTTTCTCGAGGGGAAGCTCAATGTTGAAACCAAGACTCAAACATTCTTCCTTTTCTGCTTGATTTTTTAATTTTTTTTGTATATGCGGATTAAGTTTCGACGTCATTTGGAGCGACGCGGTCGGTGTGGAAACATGAGGATAACTGTCGGCTCCCGTGGATGATTGGATGATGATGCCCCACAATGAACACAGGTTGTTTTTATATATATGTTTACGTCGTGTTCATGTTTAAAGTAAACTTTAAGCGGTTTCACAGTGTTTTTGTGTTAAATGTTAATTATTTAGACAGGATCATCACAATTTAAACACATCTGTTTATTTCCCTACTCTTTCACGTAAAAAATGATCTAACTTAATTTACAGTTCAGGTCACGCCTTAGGTAAAATCAAATATCAGACTGATCATACAGGTACTGGAATTTTCGTGGAAATGATGTGGTTAGTTTTCGCTTTACAAAAATCTATATGGGATGAAGTCTGAACTCAGAAATGTTTAGTGAATTTAAATCCATAGCATCGAATGACGTTGCTTTCCGTGGAAGACTCCACCGGGGAAATTTGTACAGAGATTAGTTTTTAGGATTACAGTATAATCCATGTTTGGGAAATTACACATAGCACGTCAGTTTTACAAGTGCAGTGCCCTGGAATGTATTCAGTGAAAATAGTTGAAATTAGTTATATTGTATGTGATTTCTGTTGGAGGAAACATTGCTTTCAAAAACTTGACATGTCTTGTTTGGTTCTGAAGCCACTTCATTTTAGACAGGTTTTCAGATTTAACCACTGACATTTCATGAAAATTATCAAAAAAAATGATATCCTGTGTGTTTGGCACAGCCAAGGCCCCAGTGTCTATCTCTTCCTTTGTTTTTAAACATTTATTTTAATTGAATTCTTGTTGCATAATTCATATCCTGTTGTTTGCAGTTGGGCGCTTTGTCAGACCGGGATCCTTGTTTTCTCTTCCAGTTGTTCTTTGACGCACTCAAAAGACCTTTTCAGAAGAAAATGCGTGTGTGTTCATGAGAATCGTCGAAGAATGACGAGAAGGAAGTCCATTTGTGTTGTGAAAAAATCTGCACGCCTAGAGAAGTTCATGGAAGACTGATGGGGGGCCCATGGACATCCTGTGTCCAGAGTCCAATGAGGCTCCTAATGGGGCACCTAATGAACCTTGAAATATTAAAAGAAAGAACATGATGACAATGATGGAGGACAAATACGTATAACTAACTATACGGTTAGTTTCTTCAAAAGCTCATGTTAGACTGAGAGTTAGAGAGAGCCGTTGACAGTGAGAGGGAGAGAAACACACAGAGTGCACTCAGGGTTTAAAAGGATGTGCGTCAGGGCAGGTACGAAATAACAGGAAGAGAACAGGGGTGTACACACTTCTTACAGCACTGGGTGTGTTTCATGACCATTTCACATTGTGTAAGTGCTCTTTGATGACTTCAAATTTCAAAAGCAACACACACAAGGATAAGGGTATGTTGATGTCGGATTAAATCTGCTAAATAATGCTTCATTCTAAATATCGAGTATGTTGAAGGAAATAAAAGGACCAATGACAAAATCATCTCTTTCAGTTTTTCATGGAAATTAGCTATGATTTGTTAATTCTGCAACCTGCATGTCCTCATTTCCCAGACAGGTTGATGTTATTGTTCCTCCTCTAAGTACGCTGTGGCTCTGTTGTTTTTCCTGCTGATAATGTCCCCTGCAGCATTCTGCATGTCACTGACTTTTGTACATGACCTGACCCCCTCTCAGCATTCTCTACCAAAGCAGGACCTACTTTTTCCATTGTGTAAACTGATGTTGGGTTTAATAATGATCAAGCATCGTTTACTTACTTTTTAAATAAACTTTGACTCTCCTTTTACAGATTTTCAAAACACACTGCAAGTCCCTCGACCAAAGGTTCGCAGTCACCTGACCATCAAAGTGCATGCAAGCTGATGTCCAGGCCGTGTGCTCAAAACTGCTGTCGCCCCAAAGCCCAGACGCCTGTGTGAGCCCCATGCACCAGGGGGAGTCCTGCCCCCCTCAGCGCCTAAGTAATGGAGACCTGGCCCACTCTGATGGGGAGGCAGAAGATCTTCATGAAGTGGCTACAAACAACCACGACAAAGAGGGGAAAAGCGAGGATGAGGTCAATGACGTCGGACACAAAGACAACGACAAAGATTACTTGGCAGAAGAAGAAAGTAATTGTAAAACAGAAGAAGGTGTAGATATATTAGATAATGATGGCAACAGCATTGACTCTGAGCACACCGTAAAAGCTGATGATGGTTCTAATGTTACTATTCCTGAGGATGGAAACACTGAAAATAACTTCATCCAGTCTGAAGTGGGTGATGACACTGGTAATGAGAGAACATCAACGCCTTTACTCAATCCTGCTGAGATGGAGGATAAAATGGGAGAGGAGGAGGAAAAAGAGGAACCAAGTTGTATAGCAAAAAGGCAAGTTTGTGACTCTTCAGGACCCAAACATGTAGAGGAAAAGAACCTTAAAACACCACAGTCCCTCAGCCGGGGTGATAAGGACAATGATACTGGACAGAATGGAACAGATAGTGAACAAAGAGAGGACTTTGTGCACTGTTTACAGACAGATGGGACTGAGTTGGAAGCCGTAGGATTTGCATTTGGATTCAGTGTGCTTCCAACTGTAACTGAGGAATATCCCTACGATGTGATTGGCCCCACAGATGTTGCCAGTGATATATATGAGTCATGTGACCCAGCTGAAACAGAGGTATGGCAACCAGAACGGGCCACCAAGGACCTCTCTGGCTGTTTCCGATTCACGTCCAGCACTGAGGATGTTTTTGGGCCTTATTCGGTTATCGAATCTCTTCCACCAGATGTTACAGGCACAGCCGACCCAGAGTGGGTTCAGGAGGATACAGAGGAAAAACCCTCAGATGAACTGCAAACGGCAGGTGCTTCTAACCAGGAACCTTTCTATGTGTCATCAGATGACGTGGACAAGCTGGAGGATAAGCAGGTCCTCTTAGAACAGGGTGAGATTGAGGAGGGGACAGAGCAGTTGAATCAGCACAAAGACAAAGCGAAGGACAGCGAGTCAGCAGACGAGTATGCAGATATTGACGATTCCCTCTGCTTACAAGCAGAGGACAAGCAGCTGGAGTGTGTCTCATCGGAAGATTACGTTGAGATAGGTGATGATGACGAAGACGAAGAAACGGAAAAGAAACATATTAAAGGAAAAAGTGTGAAAGAGAGAACGGCTAAACGAGAGCAGGCCTTCCTCAGCCAGCGAACAAGCTGCCAGCCTCGCCTCAGGTTGTGCAACATCACAGTGCCATCAGACCTTGATGTGGGCCGCACCCCGGAGCTCACCAATCGGGTGGTGTTTGCTCACACAACGGAAGCCTTTGAAGAAGACATTGAGGAACTGGACTGCCATATTGTGCCTTACAATGAGGACACAGACTCAGACAGCGAGGAGCATATATATGAGGAGGCAGGGTTTGACTCCGAAGGGGAGAACTTTGTGACGATTGATCTGAAGTCCATTGTCACGCGATCGCGCTCTTATTCTGGGAAAGTTCCAGGTTATGTTCCAGAAACTGTACCTGAGGAGACTGGGACGGAGTATCAGACTCATGACTACTGCACAGTGGCCTTAGATAAAACCAACGAACCTCTCAGCCAACCGCAGAAGTCTCAACGTTTGTTGTTTTATTCCCAATCTGCAGAGGGTCCAGCATTGACCATGACCAGTCCTACAGAGATCAACCACTCTCTGAAGGATGACGTTAGGAGGAAGAGGAAAGATGATACCCTTTCTCTCCCAAGCGTCATAACCTCTTCTGGAAGCTTCTCCCAGCGTAGCCATCAATCATCCAGTGGCATTTCCACGCCAACTTCTCTTGTGGACATCCCACCACCTTTTGAGCTGGCATACATAACTAAAAGACCAGTCACCAAGAGTTCCCCCTCACTCCTGATCCAGCATGAACCCAATGACATATCTACAAAGAAGAAGTCCTCCTTCAAGCGCTTCCTGGCGCTCAAGTTCAAGAGGAAGACAGATTCGAAGGGTTTCAGCGATGGAAGTGTCCGCTCTTCTCGCTCTTCCTCAGAGTCCAGCCACCACGGCCCCGTGAGGGTCATAGAGCTTGATCGTAGAAGCACCGGCAGCTCTCCTCAGCTTCCGAACCGCATTGTGAACCCTCAGCAGCACCCTATGGAACTGCCATCCCCCTTTGTCCTATACAAAGACCACCACAGGAGGAAAGGTGACCCCAAAGCTTATGGCAGGAGTGTCTCCAGAGTTGAGTCCTTCGAGGAGCGTTCTCGGCGCTCCGCAATGCCGCTGCCTTTGACCAAACCCCGCTCCATCTCCTTCCCTAGTGCCGACACCTCAGACTATGAAAACATCCCGGCCATGAGCTCAGACTATGAGAACATTCAGATCCCAACTAGACCCACCAGGTCCCACACTGTCACCGAGTTTTTTGAGGACCCAAATCGCACCACTATCGCTTGCAATGAGAATGACGGCTATGTAGATATGAACAGTTTCCCTGGAATTGACAGCATAACCCAGACATCAAAAGACGACACTGAAAGGTATAGTAAGATCTCCGTAAGATTAAAAATGTTTCTTCTGAAGTTCACTTGAAAAGGTGGATTCACTCATGCTCAAAAGCACATATTACATTACCTCATGTGTGACTCTCGTGGTATCTAGCCATACAGACAATATCCTGGGTTTTGAGATCTGGGTGTACTGACACCTACGCATTAATACATGTTAATCAGAAGCATCCATAACAATACCTGGAGATAGTTGTTTGTAACCATTTTACACCAAAGGTGCTAAATGTTAACTTGCGTGACTCATCAAATGTCAAAATATGCTTGAACACATTTGGGTTTTGGACGTGTTGTACAAAACACGCTATTTAAAGCTTAAATTGAATATATCAGCTTGCAGCACCTGGTAACTGGAATGGTCGTTTTCACCATATTATAACATTTGCACAATTGAATCTACATAAATGTCATTAAAGAAAACTCCAGAAAGTCTCCAGTTTTCTTAGATTAGATCGTCAACATAATAAGGCTGACATGTGTTTTTTGTTTACAATCTAATGGTGCTACAGCTAATCTTCTCATAGATGCTAGGATTAAAGACTATGAATAATCAAGCGGCATATGCTGCATGTTCACTTTATACTCCATAGAAGTCTGGACACACCTTCTCATTCAATTGATGAGAAGGTGTGTCCAAACGTTTGACTGGTACTGGGTACCCGAAGGGCAATCTTGACCCCCGTCCTTCCCAAATGAATATTCCTACGCTGTCCCACTGTATCTCAGCAGAGCGCAGGGCCCCTGGCTGAGTAGAATCTCATCTCCCTCTTGTAGAAAACTGTTCAGTGAGAGATGAGCAGCTTGCCGTGTCAGGCATCGCTGCCGTTGGAAAGATGGACAGTGCTTGTGGGAGAGCTTACTCCTGTTTTTCATTTGGTGGATTAAGAGGTCGCATCTGCTACCGCTGCTTCCCGTGAAAGTCTGAGGTGATAGAACAGGTCGGGGCGAATGCGCAGCTCGCTGAGCGCAGGTTGCTCCTCACACTAGAGAAAGTCATTAAGGGCTGCAATTAAAAGTGAAGAAATATGGGGGAGTTCTTTTCACACAAGGAGGTGGCGACGAATGAAAAAATTGTGAGACAGCAAAGGGAGGGGATGTGTTAATATGAAGGTGCTGAAGACTAAGAACACAGAGAGAAAAGCGTTAAAGTATAAAGGAGGGGGAGGTGAAGTAAGAACAGAAGAAAGTGAGCAAGAGCAGTTCCGGTGTAATTGCTCTCCTGTACCTGACACTTATTGTTAAGTTTAGGAGGGCTTTTATTAAAGTAGCTCTCTCCCGAGTGCTTCTCTTTCATTGGACCCTAAAGGGGCCGCAGGATTTACTGCAGTGTGTGATAGAGTGAAGTATCACCGCGCTCCTGAGCTCAGGCCTCAGCTTTAGCCACTCCGGGCTACAGTCTTTCCCAAGTCTAAATAAAATAGTTGTGTTTGATGACCTGTGTGTAGTCAAAGAGACAGGCCAATAGCGAGAGCTGCTTGAAAGGCTTAAGATAATCTTGGAGCAAAATGCTTCTGCATTTGTTTTTACTTCTTCTGCTACACTTTTATATTCTATGTGTATATATATATATTCTATGTGACATAACTATTTCATCAGGTCGAAAATGTTTTAGCTTGTAGTTAAAATCATTTATACAACGGTTCACACCCACAAAGCCGCTCTTCCCCTGTCATTCTGTGCAGCAGTAACCACTATACCATGAATTCCTTCCTGTTTATTTACAGTGCACTTTACACTTCACATCCCAACGGTTGAAACCCTTCCATTTCCCAGACAATGCTCCCTCAGTGAGGGCTCTTTTTCTCCCAGTGATGTTATCGGTGTGGATCATTGTGTGGTAGAAGTCTCACGCCACTCACAATGATGCAAAGAACCTATCTATCCTGTGGCCTTCGGCGCATTCCCCCCGGAGACGCTTCTGTTGCCACGGCCGCTCTTTGGTGTGTCTATACTGTGCTTTTTATGTTTATTTGAGAGTGTGTATATACACTCAATGCAAGTCATGTGTAGTGTAGATGTGTCCCGGCCTCTGTGTGTACATCTTACAATGAACTCTGTCCAAAGCTTGACTTTGCCGCTGTCCCATACGTTGATGATGGAAGTGATTTATTGAGAACGCATTCAACAACTTGGTTTAGACCCACAGAGGAAAGGATGCAGATTTTTGCTATTCCCAGTGCTTGTTTCCACTTTGTGTGATTAAAGTATAGCACCTTTCAGACATTATTTCAGCACAAGCATGCAGAGTACGCAAAGAAACGTTCATTAGCAAGCAGTGTACATTGGAAAAACAACAGGCGCACTAATGATTAATCTCAAACCCAGCCATTTGTATGCGCATGCACACTGAGCTACAACTTAGTGCTGCTTTATCAAAGATGAGGCTCCTCCTGATTATGCAGTCTCAGCAGAATTGCCCACGCCTTGTATAGCAAATGAGGCATTTTAGCAAAGAAAGGATTTGTGATGGTGATCAACTTTGAGACCATTTAGTGTATTGTCAACTTTGTAATTGGTAAACTTACAACTAGAATGTAGATGCGTTGTTGTCCCTGGTAATAAACACCGATATGGTGATATGTTCAGTGGAATACTATTAATATGTGCAAATAATGCACCCCTTGGTGTAATTTTCAACACAAATATATTCAGAGTGATGACAGAGCCCTGCGTTGGCCTCTGAAACAGCTCCTCCCCCACTGTTATGTTAGCGTTAGTAGTGATGAGGGAGCCATCTTAAGTACATTGTTGTACTGGGTGGTGGCTGCGTGGCGAGGTAGTGAACAGGGCGTTTCATTGGCTCGCCAGGCCTGGTGCCATGCGCCCTGAGGTCATTGCCAGGTCATCCCCGGGGAGGAAGCGTCCAGCCTAGGAGCTTCCCACCAGTCTGTTTACAGGAAATGCGGGGCGAGGGCGGGGCACTGGCGGGAGGCATGGAGATGGAGACGGGAGGTGGAGACGGGAGGGGACAGATAGGGAGGAGAAGAGGGTCACCGTGGAGGAGTAGGGGTTCCCACAGACTCTCCCTTGAACAATAAGAGGAGGTGTGGTACCACCAGGAATGCCAGGTCTGCTGTTAATGTTGCTCCCTTTTGTTAGGAATGCCTCCAGTGTGTTGGACGAGCGTGCAGAGGTTACAACGCGGTTGCATTTGAGGCCCTGAATCGCACGTTGTTGAATTTGACAGCGTCTTCACAAATTAATTCATCACACGCTGCCGCAAAAGCAGCAGCACGACAGCCCCGGGCTACGTGTGATGATCGTCACTAAAAGGGGAAAACAATTTAAAACTAGCCCCGATCTCTTCATCTACCCACCAGTATCACAATCTTCTATTTAGCAGGCTAATGGACCTATTCAGCTTCTCCTTATTTCTTATAATAGTGCCATTACAACTTAAAAACGGCCCTTTTGATTGCACCCAATATATATTTCAATACTGAGTGTTGAGCTCAATTGAGTAACTTATTACAGGCATCATCAAGTTCACGGGAGAATGGTGGGATACAGGTGTTTTTCACAGAGTCCTTGTGTCCTTCTCTGAATCTGACACAGTAGATTTAACTTTGCCATGTTATAAAAGACATTGCAATCTGCTGGAGTAATAGAATTACCTTAATGGTCCCCGGATTACCTTATAACATATATACAGATTTGAATATGGAAACGTTATCATCTGGAGCTAAATGTGCACTATATTTGGCATTTCATGACAGGAATTTAGCTATATTGGCACAGAATACATTTGACATTATTGTTTTCTGTCAAATAAAATGGATATGTACGGGTATGTTGAAGAGGAAACTATTGCAATCCAGTTATTTGTAGCAATTCAGTTTTTTGTGCCTTTCTTGGAGCCATTGTTATAAATGGGACACAACCCTCCATTGCAGCACAGAAGGCGTGTTTTCTGACATTCCCCTGTAGATGGTCACGGGTGAAAAGGTGAAGGTGAGAATCCGTGGTGCATTTTTCTTGAACATATGAAGGAATTTCGCAGAATAAATCAGACCTTAAAAAAGAGTTTTGTAGGAGGTCTGTAGGCCTCCGAACATTCCCCAGTAGCCCAGACCAGGTTGATCTGTCTGCTCTCAGGTCAGCCATGAGTAATAGCCTGTAGGTGCTTTCTCCAGCCCACCCAGTAGGGCTGATGGGTGTCTCTCTAAGTGTGTGTTTGTTGCTGAAGGGAAATTAAGTCCACTGGGTAACTCTATTAACCTTTTGTAATAGCCGTCGACCCTCTACACCCAAACACAGGGAGCCGTTTAAGACATCAGGACAAGCAGACATTACAATTTATAAAAGGCCTGAATGAATGTCAACCATCACATTTCCCCAAGCCCTACATGACGTCTTCATAGTACTTGTTTTGTTGCGCAGAATGCAAAAACTCAAATATATTCACTTTAATAAAACAGTAGAAGAAAAATACACATTCTTACAATTGAGAGGTTGGAACCAGACAGAGTTTGGCATTCCTTTAAAAAGAACATAAAAACAATAATATATAATAATAACAATAATAATAATTATATTGATTGGAAGAATGTCTCGGATTATTATGTTTCTTTTGATCGATAAATGGACTCATGCATAGAGTAACATCCGTTAGTTGGTAAATCATTTGATAGTCCCCATATTTTTGATATAGTAGTAGTATAGTAGTATTATTATATATTTTGTTGTTTTTGTATTGTTTGTAATTCTGTGGATATTATATCAAAAATAGATAAAATGACACAATTAAGTGTAAAATGTCTTTGATTGTTTTAATCAAATCAGAGAACACGGCGTTGCGATTCATCCTTTGCATTTTTTGCGAAATATGAAAAGCTCTCCTGTAGCTGCACCTGTAATCCCGTTATTATTGTGGCAATGTGAGTTTGGTCAAACGCACCGAATAGGTCCCAGTGGGTCAGAGGACATTAATAATTACCACAGGTGCATTTAAAGGGATTACATATGAAATGCCCTACAGCGGGTCCCCCTCAGGTACAGCAGCAAGCAAAAGGATTACAAGTGTACGAACACAACTGTGCCATCTGTGAGAAGAACTAATGATGGAAGGGATTACCCCGGGCCACTGGAGGAGGCCATGTGAGAAGTGGAAATGTTCAGAGACACACGCAGGAAGAGAGCATATTTAGAGCACAGGTGACTTATTGCTCAGTGTTTTGGGACCACGCTGCTACAGAGATTTACCGTAAATTTGCTATTTGGAATTAGTGTCGTCAGTGTGTCATACATTTAAACCAGGCGCTGAAGCCCAAATGGTGTCAGTATTCATATTTACTGGTCCTGTTTTGCTGTGTTCATGCTGCCTTTTCTTCTCTCGGCAGTGCCTACACAGAGCCTTTCCCAATGAACCCCGTCTCTGCTGCGCTGTCAGCGGACGAGGACCACGGGCGGACGTCAGAGGAGGAAGAGGGGCAGTCTGAGCAGAGCTATGACAGACAGGTGACATGTGCCTCCCAGACTCCCAACTGCAACAGTTCGGCACGAGCAAAGGACGGTGCTGCGATGATGCTCTCATTGGCCCTAGATTGTGTGCACTTGTTGTGGAATAAATTGAGTAAAAATGGCATCGTGGCATGCGAGCGACAAAGCCTAATGAAAATGACTGCGCTCATGTGGAAGATGAAAGCTATGGCTCGCATTCGCATTCTACATTGCTTCGGGAGAGCGTTAGGACTCGCAGGTCCAGAGACATCAAGCTAGTTGAAATGAATCTCCTCACGCCCCTCAGACTTACCGCACGGTAGATGGCAGACATTTACAGCAGCTGAGTGATAAGCGTATATCTTGTTTTTTCTCCAAAAAATAAAAAACACAATAAAATGTAGATAAAAGCATAGGAAAGAGAAACTTTGGCCTCAGGAACAGTTTAGTTTAATGGAACGGTTGCTCGTTTTTATTCTTGAGGAAATGGGGGTCAGCGTCCTTTTGATGCAGCATTTGTGAAATGCCTCACATAGGAACAAATAAGCGGAACCTTGCTGGTAAACCCCCAAATGGCTTCAATGTTATGTTTTGGGCCGGATGTTTTGTAACGCTGTGATTAGCCTCCCAATCAATGGGCAGCATTGCTGTCGCCACAAACACACACACACACACACACACACAGCCTCTTATACATAATTAACTGCATTTAAAAGTCCTCTGTTGGAGAAAGCTGTAATGTCCATGCAGTACTTTAATGGAATAATCAGTCTTACTTTGACATAAGAAATTCTTAAAAACTAAGGGAATGTGCTTTTTTGCCAGCGCTCTTGGCCGCTGCGTAGTGGTTCCTATTCATATTTCAGAGGTACAGAGAGCTTTTAAGCATCAGCTCATGTTCATTTATCTTTCGGCGTCCCCCAGGTTGATGGCCGGTCCCGAGCGTTCTACGTCGCCAAAGAGCTCGTCGACTCAGAAGGACTGTGAGTGTCCCCCGCTGGGGTTTCCCCATTTGCCATTTGTGTTATTACAAACGAGTGATTTTGTATCTAATCTCCGATTCCTTCCAAACGCACCTCCCCTGCTCCTTGGCTAATTCATCGTGTGTGCAGGGTAACTGACAGCCAATTACACGAGCGCCTCGTGTAATTTATTGCCGCTGCTACGCACTTCACTTCTGATAGCGTTTTCCTCATCATGCATAATTTAGATCATTTCATGAGTGTAGTAGAAAGATTACCTTATTTGGGGAGAACTCTGCAAATTTGTTTTTCACCACGTAATTAAATCTTGTTTTTTTGCACTGTATTTGCAGCCACGTCAGCGCCCTCAAGTACCTTCACCAGGTGAGAAAAGCGCCGCCGACACCACAGAAGTGGGTCGCGCTGGCATTATGTGTCTCTCGCTTATTAAACCTTCTCGAAAACCGCACGGATAACATCGTATTTCCTGTGCGTCTGCTCCCTAGTCTCTGTCTCCGTCTCCTCCTCCTCCCCCTCCTGTTATAAGGCTCTGCTCAGGTTTATCAGTGTTGTTGCAGCAGGATCTACTTCCTGGTCGTGACAAAGCGGACATGTTGCACTGTGTAGTGGTCAGTTGTAAAATGTGCGTTCACCAGGCACTGTGGCTGGTGGCGTCCTTCTACTACACCGAAACACGTCCTCTGATACTGAATTCTGGGGAACTGCCACCTAAAGGTTCAGGCTCATGAAATTTGTATAGTGGTTGTATTGGTTCCATGGTATAAAATCCCCGTTTGGACTGCTGATGACAGTTTGACGGTACGTGTTTTTGGTTGGGTGACTGGAATAAGCTCTGTGATTAACACAACCCCAAGAAATGTAAAAGTTTTGTTATACAGTGCAAAATACTGCAAGCAATACTCCTCTATTTCATTCATTTAAGAAGCGTATCAGATAATGCAAAGGTGAGCAGCGGTAAGATTCTCAAGGTTGTCATGGCACCGGTACCACCGGTTGTCCGAAGAAGATCCAAATTCAAAGTTAGGAACAAAGACGCATATTTACCAAAAATAAAACATAATGTCACTGAAAGACCTAATGCATTTAATTAATTCTAACTAGAAGGGAAAGTCGTAGAGGAGAGGTCAGGTGGGCAGCAGCTCTTAAAGAATGGCGTGGCGGAGTTGCTATTAAGATGATGGTTGCCAGTGGAAATCTGACAGGTCGAGTCATTGAACCCAGAGAAGCCCATCAGTCAGCCTGAACCGTATAACCTTCAACAAGGACTCACCTGAATGCCGTACGTGTACCCCTCACCATGATTTATGAACACCTGCTGTGCATTTCAAAGCCACTGCTTAATGTGATGCCATTAAACAGCAAGTAATGCAAATATTATACAATGGACAGCTCTAATATTCATGAATCTGCAATCTCATCATGATGCTCAATTATACTAATTAGGTGCTGCATGCCAAAACACAGAGAGAAACATCCGTTGTAAGTCAATATGGGGATCAGTGACATTCTGATAGAGTAGCCTAAACCAACAAGTTCATTTTTTATAGTAACAGATCTGTTTTTACAAAGAGTCTGAGTGACCTTGGCTTGCTCAGTGTTACCACACCATCTAATTTCATCTCTTTCAAATGTCATCATTCCGTTGCATAATGCATATAGAGTCTTATAACCGTGATGTGTCAACGTACAGTATGAGTTCATGTTTGATCCAGACTGATGTCATAATTAGCATGAAACTGAGCAATTCAGCTGGCAAGCACTCCAGCGGCTCAACGTGCACAAACACTGGGGGGGGGGGGGTCAGCGTTAAGTGAGAGGCACATAGGGGCTATTGTTCCATTGTTTGATAAGGAATAACAAGAATACAAAGAATTTCCAGACCCTGTCTCGACATAGGAAAGGAGGCCGTGCTCTTCTTTCTAAGGACTTTCCCCGCAACAGATTCAACATATGCGGCTCGGAACAATTCTTTTTTTTTGTTGTTGTTGTGCCCCACGTCATCACATTATCTTTCCGCCGACATGGACAACGCGATTCGTTTTATGTATGTTCTTTATTTACAACTCGCATATCTGGGCTGCAGACACAGATTTATTTAGGTGTAGATATTTATACATATTTGCCAGACAGCTTTGCCCCAAAGGGGAAACAGAGACTTCTTCAAGCATTTTGAGACACTATTCACCTGCTTTTATCCATTTCTTGTCTTGATTTTATGAGTAGAAAATTGACCTCTTCCCTTGTTTTTGTCCCCGATGTGCTATAATTCCTCATGATAGTCCTCTTAGTCTCTGACACTGCAGCTAGTCATGCCTTTTGCTTATGTTTTATGTGTGCTGAATGGACTTCAGTGGACCTGAATTCATGGCATAGTTAGTAGAGTCAGTTTTTCATCTTGTGCCTCCAGAGAAATGATAAGTGGATACTACGTACAAAATGAGCATTGTGTCATTGAGTTCCAAGGTTTTTATGAAACAGCACCTGGCGTGTAACTCGTGTGCAAACAGTGTCCCGCCTTTCCGGAATGCCTGGACAGAGCCCAAAGCGGCGAGGAGGAGCTGAGGTGATTTGAAGGGAGGCTGGCAGGAAGGATGTTTAGGAGGATCTGACCTTCCTTCCTTTCATTCCTTCGTTCCTCATTCCCATATGCCTTTTGTGTCTCGTTCTCTTGCTCACTCCCTCCTTTCTATGAACCGACCATACCCTTGGTTCCTCCCCCCTTCCACCCCACACTTCTGTCTTCTTAAAAAGCTGTGCTCTAAAATCCTTGTTTCCCTCCCCTGTGCAGGACTTTAGGTCTGCAGTGGCAGAGGCGGCGGTGGGCGAGGACGGGGAGCCCGTGCTGGACGAGCAGAGGTTAGGAGAGATCTTGGGCGTGCTCCCCCAGGTCTACACGCTCCACAGCAGCATCCTCACTGAGCTGGAGGAACGCATCAGTCGGTGGTAAGAAACACCACAGATATTGCTGATGGTTTGGCCAGCGTTGTTGTACACTTCAGTTGTGGGATTTAGATTTTGTTTTAATGGGATGGTTTTATGTTTTAGGAAATAAACATCTAATTGGTTTCTTAGAGGAATCAAACATTCTGTAAGACTCCCATGTCTGGTCACCAGATATAAGCGGGCTAGTGTAGCTTACCATAAATAGTAGAAGCGGGGGGAAACACCTAATAGCACCTCTACGTTTGTGCTACGCTAATTTTATATAACAAATGCCCCGTATATGAGAGGAACCAATATTATAATTCATAATATTTCTGAATATGTTAAAGTAAAACATCCATGGTAGTCCTTTGGTATTTGGAAGCAGTAATACATTATTTCTAAACGTTACGTAATTGTTCCACAATCCTCACAGACGATAATCCATAAGGACCATAATATAGCACAGCTCAGTTAATAGCGTTTTTTCGTAAACTTTAACTCACAATTTGCAGAGAATTGGGTTGATTGAGGGCTTATTGTGACGCACATTGTATCATACTTTTTTCATGAAAATGACTCAAAGAAAATGTTCTAAATCTCTGATTGTCCTTTCTTTGAAGGGAGGAGAGCCAAAGGGTAGTAGACGTGATCCTGTCACGTCGGGAGGACTTTGGGGTGTTTGACACCTTTATCTCAGAGTATGATCGAAGCATGTCCTTACTGGAGGAGAGCTGCAGGGAGAACTTAGCATTCGCCAACATCGTCAAGACGTTTGAGGTAAAACACTGAGTAGTTAGACTAAAACTTGAGCGGACAGAGACTCTTTGGGTCCGCCCTTTGTGTTTCTACCTGTTATTATTCAGCGTACCGCACTTGGATTCAGAGCCTGATCATTGCCAAAAGATCCCCCCTTTACATGGTAGCTGGGTGGAAGTATTTTGACGGTCACTTTTGTTTGTGGAGGGAAAGTTAAGCCTTGTGCTTGTTTCCATGGAACAGAGAAGAAACCTGGTATTTTCCTGGCACTCTCTCAGCAACTCGCTGTTTCGATTTTGTCACCCAGCTTCCACGAAGGATATAATGGCCTTTCCAGAACCCCCTTCATTCCCGCCCCTCTCCAGGGAACTGACCTTTACACTTTACGCTTGCATATTTTATATCCACTCAACACCAACTACTCGTCGTTTGTCCAGCGTGGATCTCTTCATCCCTTTTTGCTCTCTGGGGAGAAGTGAAGTGTTTTTTTTGGTACAGGGATTAAAATTCACACAAAAGCTCATTCTAAACCCGCCCACAGATCAGAACGACACTTCATCCTGATGTTGAGGAGGAGAGACACAGTCCAAGCTGGTAATAATGAAATTGACTATTTTTATCCAAAAGACAGGATATTAAGAGAGCCAATAGATAAGACCTCAGAGTTACTCGAATAGATTTCTCATTTCATGCGGCTGTGTCTTGCTCTGTGGAATTGATTACCAATCAACATAGTTTAAAACCACTGTGCCGGGCACACAGGTCACCCTGAGTAAGACCGCCAAGTAAGGCTAAGAAAGACTAAAAGAAAGCTTTAACTGCTCAACTCGGCACCTTTCTTCCCGAATGTACACATCAAGAGTTGCACGCTTCACGTGAGCGGCTGACTCGATGGTTCCAGGCGTCTCCAGTTTGATAAGAAAACCTAGCGGACAAGGACCCAACTGTCTCTGCTCATGAATATTCAGAGGCAGCTGCCCTTCGGCAGCAAAGCTTTGGCTCCGCCAGACGTTAATGGAGCTAATGTAAATAGGAGGGAGTGGAGGTGCAAGATGGAGACTGTAAACCGTCACACTGACCTTTGGTGTCTTACACACACCTGAACTAAGTCAGCTAACAATGTGGCCCTTGATAGCCTCGATCTAAGTCAATAATGTGCCCCCTCATTTTAGCCTCATGAAGTGGATATTATATCTCTTTTCTCACACCATAAACCACTAATTGCTATCTGGAGCAGCCATTAACTGCTTGGTTTGCAAAGGATGAATCCTCTTGTTCAAGGATATAAGTTTATTTTTTGGTGTTGGTCTGTTTTGTGTCCATGTAACGACTGTGATTCATCTCACACCCGTGAAACACCCAAAGACACATTTAATAACCTTTTCTGACTCACCACACTGCAGATTGTATTTACCTTTCCCATATTGCACATAAGTGTACGTATTATTTGAGGCCTGGACTTTGTTTGTGTGAGAGAGGGATGCTGCGTTGAATGGAAGTGCTGCCTTGGGAATGACACGGTGTGTGTGAGCCCAACTGTAATGAGCGGGAAGGAGGGACGAGGGACGAGTCATGGGATACCACATATTTACTGCTCAGAGAACGGCGGTCCTGTGTCTGTTGGCCGTGTGACGCTTCACAAGTCGTTACACTTCATAGGACTGGACGTACCGATTCGGCTATTTTAATTGACTCATTGTGAATTTGTGAATTTAAGAAAAATGTTAATTCTTCATCAATAGCTCCCATTTTATTATCTTGCTTTGTTCCAAGACTTAAGCCATTAGCTCCCTCAACACGTCTTGCCCTCTTGCTCCTCCGCTGGCCCGAAGTATAAGTGATAGTAATTTCATTGTGGACGGGGGTGATGACAGTGATGAAGTAGCCACAGACTCTGATCCGATCACAGCTAGACCCTTACAGGCTTTAAAGCCTCATCTCCACAGCCAGGTGCTTGTTTACCCAACCATCTACACACATGGGCCAACAGAGTGCCGTGTGTGTGTCCCATTGTGTGTCCCTTTTTGCTCCTCGTTGTCCTGGTGTCTGATTGTTTTGCAGGGGAATGCGCTTACACAAATTGTGTTGATCTTGTAGAATTCTTTAGAATTAAAAAAAAGGATGTACAGATGAAACATATTTTCAAAGCACAACATCTTATAGATTTATATTCATGCCGGCGTTTGTCCAAAGTTTTTGTGTGTTTTCTGTGTGTGAGAAGCGCAGAAGGAGGCGGCTGTACGGCAGGTGGACAGAGAGCGATAGGGGGAGAGAGCAATGGAGGGAATGCGTTGTAAAGGCAGCTGGGCAATGAGGCAGACAGAAGCTAATTAGAGAAGCAGCCTCTTTTACAACTCCCCAATTAGATCAGTGTCTGTGTGTGCGTCTGTGTGTGTGTGTGTGTGTGTGCAGAAAATCAGCTGGCTGTGACAGGGTGTGAAAGATGTGTCTGTTTGTCCGTGCATGTCTGTGTGTGTGTCTCCCAGCACGAGGCATCACACGCTCCCTCCTCTCTCCTCCTCCAATTTGGCTCTCTCACCCAAACAAACCACACGCTAATTACCATCTCTGGAAAGCCACTTCCTCTGAACGAGTCTCAATTGAATGACAATTTACAAGGGGACGCTTGAGGAGAACGAAAGTGCCGAAGCCAAGCGGGAATGATAATGGAGAGCTGGTCATTATTGCACTTGATCGTACAGTCATGAGAAGGGAGGAAACTCTAATCAGAGGTTGTTGCTGGAGACCGAAGACGAAGGGAAAAAAGGACGTTGCGACAGAGAAGTACATGAAGTGTTCGCGAGGCCTGCTCATTAGAAGCAGCGCACACTCGGTTTTACTTTTGACTCCTCCGCCCCAGATTCTGATAATAAAGACAAAGGCTGGTGTGTTTAACTCGTCCCTCCCCTTTACAGGCCATCGGTGTTATCTCATCGCCAGTCCAGGGTCTCTGTGTGTGTCTGTGCGTGTTTGTGTCTGCTTGTGTGGAGGGGCACATCATCAATAATATATTGTATGTGTTTGTGAATGTGGCTGCGTGGGCTCTTGTGTGTGTGTGCAGTGTAAATAAGATGAAGCGGCTGTTTTCCCGCAGGGGGCTATCTGTGCCTCTCTAATGAAGGATAGGACTTCATTGGATTACAAAAGACGGTGTGTGTGTGTGTGTGTGTGTGTGTGTGTGTGTGTGTGTGTGTGTGTGTGTGTGTGCGCCCTGTCCCTCGTTGCTCCTCCACCGCTCAGGGCATAAATACCTGTCAGAGACAATTAGATCCTGATTGATTTTCTAAAGCTCTCTTTGATTGTGCGGATTTCTTTCCCCTTTCACCTGCAAATGACTACTGCGAGAGGAAGAATGGGAGTTGTTCAGGGGTTTTTGTGTGCTGGAGAGACGTGTGAAGGTCACCCAGTCCGATAGCGTCCCCATGGTTCACTTGTAACCTTGACTTGCAGCAGCGGCATATTGTGTAGGTGACCTTCACGGGGTAGGGCTTTTCTGGGTGCAGTTCGGGGACGCTGCGAGGTCCGAGGATTGGAAATAACAATGATTATTATTTTTTTATTTTGCCATTATCATTTTTTTTCAGTGGAAAGTTTTTAAACATACGAAAACCTTTTTTAACAGGACACAATGTGTCACGTTCAAGCATAGAATCAGGGTCTTTACAGTATCTGTCAGACATTGTGTAACCCAGGTATAGTGGTGATTTCTTTATGTGTGTGTGTGTGTGCAGAAAAGAAGCCCAGAGAAAGCTGAAGTCCCGCTGAATCACCAACTGCTGCAGGTTATTGTCAGAGTGCTCCAGTATCGAATGCTACTCACAGGTAACACACACACACGCAGACGCACACAGTCATCTTTAAAGCAAGTCCGTGCCGGTTTTTGATCAATAACAGACATTGAGGGCCAGTAGTAGCAATTATGGCAAACTGATAACGGCTCAAACTAATAACCACAATAGCACATAAATAGCACATAAAAGTGAGCGAAATGATCTCTTCAGAATTCTGATTGGTAGATACAACAACGCGAGAGCACATAAGCACAGTTAGACGTAACACCACAGTGCTTTTACAGACATTTACTTTTTGGTTTGGGACCCACCCATGTCTGTTCATTTTGTAGCTTTATAATCCTGTTTGGCCTCTCATTTCTCTACCCGAGGCTTCAAGAGATGTGAGCCGAATGCATGGAAAGGGTATTTACACATACAATCTTCCTGTGTCTTCTCCAGATTATCTAAACAACCTCTCTCCTGATTCAAAAGAATACGAGGACACGCAAGGTAACCCCCGCAAAATACAACAAGAAATGAATAATCACAGCCATGGCGGTGATGTTTGCTCAGCAGTCACAGCGATATTGACACTCACTGCAGCTGCTCCACATGTATCAGACCCTATTTGTTGAGTCACAGTCACAGAGTGTCCTAATTGAATTGGGCTGCGCATAAATCTGTCTCTTTCTCTCGCTGTTTGTGTTGCAGCTGCCTTGGTGATTGTGTCCGAGGTGGCGGACCAGGCCAATGACAATCTGAGGCAGGGGGTGAGTTTACTCTGGATACGCTCCGTGAGTTCAGAACATTCGGACTGTTTGGCTCCCGTTGAGTCTCTATCCATTCATGGCCCAGCGTGCCCTTTTATATTTGGTTCGGCAATGAAAGAGCAAATTTCGGATGGAGATCAAGCGTGAAGAATGTAGACAGCCGAGGTTCTACCGCGTGTGAATCCTTCTTCTAAACGACGCGCTGGAGTAAAGGGGAGGTCCGTCCGTCTTTGGCGGCGGCCTCCGCAGCTTTGGGTGCCTCGCCCTGGGTGTAGGAAAGATGATGTCACCAGAAAGTCCCAGGTGTATCGTTTCAAAGGGAGCAGTGTGAGGGTGGACATGACTTACACCCCCCCCCCCCCCCCCATCCCCCTCTCAAAGATGAGCTGTTCATGGAGATCATTTAGAAAGCTTTTCTCGCCTCTGTTATCATGTTTTTCCTCTTCCGTGCACATGAGGCAAAATACACACGCACAGGCCGACAGATAAACAGGCTCCCCTTTATCTCCCCCCTGCCTCCCTTATTCAGTTTTCAGTATCACATCCCTTTCCGTCTCCCTCCCTTTCATTCACGAACCAACAGGGGCGGTTTCATTCTTTGTCTCCTCTTGCGTCCATCACTGGATAATCTCCTTCCATCTCCATGCTCTCTCTGCCCCCTCAGGAGAACCTGCTGCGTCTGGTCCACATAGAGTACAGCGTGAGGGGCAAGAGGGACCTCCTGAAGCCCGGGAGGGTGAGCACCATGTGGCCTGTGTTACTGTGTCGCAAAAACACGTTGTTCCATTTGTAGAACAGGATGTGGAGGCCTTTACGGCGTCTAAATTATGGTGTGTGTAAACTGCAGTTTGTTTTTACTTTACTACATTTTTATTTCGTTTGGCAGATTTTTGTGAAAGAAGGCACACTCATGAAGGTCTCGAGGAAAAGCAGGCAGCCACGACACCTGTTTCTGGTAATATTCTTCCCATATCACTGTCAGAGACGTTATTGGTCTGTATTTGCTGTCGTTTAGGACTTTGAACTGTTTCCCCCCTTTTGGAAACATGTTCATCAGCTCTCTTTGGTGAGAAGACCCATGCCACCCTCATGTTTCAAAGCAAACAATCAATTATTATTGTTCGTAATCTTATTGTTCGTTTATTTATGTTGATAAAAAGCATTCACTGTCACATCATGTTCTGTATTAGCTTGATGCATCTATTCATTGAGATTATCCGTTGAAGTGTCCAATTCAAAAACAAGATTAAAGCACGGGAGTTCAAGACTCCATGTTTGCATTAAGTTATACCCACTTCCCAAAAATGTAACCTCACACAGTTGTTAACTCTGTAAAGCATTGGATCTCTGAGGGAGATAAAGTTCACTATTTGGATGAACACCGTAACTTAGCGAATGACAAAGGTATAAACGGTTGTTAAATCTGGCAAGTAGAAAACACCTGCCATATCGTTAAAGCAAATATGTGGGAATGTTGGGTGGAGGTCGGTGAGGTAGGTGGAATTGGGAGGGGCGAGAAGGACGGGGGTCACGAGGCCAAGACTGTGAGACCTCCACTTGGCACCACACCTATCCAGAGAGGGCCTCCCCCTCCGCTACACTCCTCTCCTCCCCTCTCAGGACTTGTTTTCCAGGGCCCCACTTCCTGACAGGATGTTTGGTGTGGGTCACTGGATGCCGGCTTCCTGTGTATTGGGAGGGGACTGACAGCAAAGTGAAGGCCAGACACCCTGTAGAATGCAGGGGAGGAGGAGGTGGCGGAGGAGGGAGGGGTGGTGCTGCTACACAAACACATCATTTGAAATAGAGAAGCCCACTCCATTGTTCCATGTGCAATCCGTGCTGTCTCATGTTATGAATTATGCCGGAGCTGCACATCCGCTGCAGCAGCGTTTATGATTTTGGCTTCTTCCAGCTGATCCAAATACAATATAACGTGAAGATATGGATTTCTTTTCTCCAATCTTTCTTCAATTTGTTCTTTTTCATCATTCTCCCGGTCCCTCTAAACAGAATTGCAGTTGGCCATAACTAAAAAGGGTTGCTGGTTGATACTATTGAGACTATCCGGGGATATAAAGCCATTTGCTTCCTTGAAGTTGACGGCTTCAGTGCTTCAGGTGTTATTTATGGGCTTTTAAGGAAAGAGAAACCAGACAACACGAAGATGAAAGCCATCACTCACCTAAGCGACGGGGAGAAGTTGAAGCCATGTCACAAGCCTGGGCTCGGGGAAGAAAGACAAGCGGGGCGAACGAGTGAGGGAAGGGATTAAAGGAGGATGGAGGTAAAAACAGCTGCCAGAGGCAGTATGAGTGAAGGAGGCAGGTGATTGAGGTGACAGGTTAGTGGACAAGATGAAATGTCAAGGTTGAATTAAATCTCTTTGATACCGGGGGGGTCAAGTAGGTGCATATTGTGTGTAATCTGGGAAGGTCGCCTGTGAAATACACTAAGTCGGCACTTGGGTGGGTTTGGAATCTTTGAGTTCTTTGAGTCCAGTCGAGCGAGCGAAGCAGTTACCACGGCCGTTTGTGTTGTTGTTGTTGGTGTTGTTGCCGGTTCCACCCAGTCCCGGTTCTCAGTGTTGCCTGAGGAGCCTGGGAGGGCGAGGGGACGCCAGGAGCCCGGAGCAGGGGGGAGAATTACTGGATGCCGCCTTTAACGGCCCCAGCGGATGTTTAGAGCACACATTAGGTGTGACCAATGATGTCACCTCTTTTGTCTGGAAAGAAACGAAATGCCTCTCACAACACAATGGAGTTCTCACTGTGTTCAGGCGATCACAATACTTTGGGTCTGACAACCAAATAAACACCTATTTTGTCGTGTGCTTACATGGGAATGTTGCACTGGTTGGCTGCACAGACGTGATGTGTGAACTCTGTGAAAGGAAACATGAACAAAGTAGTTGGGCCCAGAAAAGTTTCTTTCTAGAAACCAAGAACAAACAAAGAGGTGTGGTTGTGTACATATTCATCTCAAGGTAATACCACCACCTGGTGATAATTAGGGGGTATTACATTCTTAAATATCACTAATATTTGTACCGTTAACATTTATCTTCTATGTTCCTTTCGAATCTTACATAATATTCTTTCTACGTTCTGGATCAGATGAACGACATAATGCTGTACACCTACCCTCAGCAGGATGGGAAATACAGGCTTAAGAACACGTTGTCTCTGTCTGGGATGAAGGTACATTGATTTAACTCTTCTCTGACCATCTCCAACATCATCAGTGTCTTTAGGCTGACCTGTGGCGCGTTTTTCGCCCCTCAAACACAGGTGAGCAAACCGGTTCTAGACAACGTGCTGAACTGTCTTAAGATCGAGGTGTCCGACATCACGATAACACTCTCAGCAAGGTGAGCATCGGATGACCAACATAACCTCGGGATATATCTGTGTGAATTTGTCCGTGACTTTACCAGGGCTCTCGATCGGGTGTGATAGTTTGTCTGCTTCCGTCTTCAGCTCGGTGGTAGAGAGGGAGGACTGGTTCCACACTCTGAGTCGAGCCATCGCAGACCATGCTGCAGGCCTCTGTACGTTTGGTGGACCCTGCAGTGAGGTAAGAAAAGTAAAGAAATGGATGCTAAACACTGCCATCAAAACACCACACTTAATTATCAATCACACAATGCACCTGTAGTCAATGAGATCACCTAAACTCAGAGCTCGAAGACGATGATGGGATTCAAGTTTGCCCTTTGGTGTGAGGACAATAAGTTAATGCTGTCTTCAGAATAAGTATTTCTGTTTGAAAAATGTGTCTTTGTTTCTGCATCTCGTCTGTATTTTCAGAATGCTACTAATAAAAACGCCAAAGACTCAAAATCATAGCGTTTCATGCTTGGTCCCCTCTCAAAAAAGTGGGCCGTACATTGAGAAATTGTGTTTTAATCCAATCTTTTGCGTGCTTATGAAACGTCAACTCCGTCCTCGCATCATCTAATGCAGTAGATGTGTCCACAGGCCCGTGAGAAGTTGTGGATGGCCCTGGGCGAGGCTGCTCCCGTGCTGGTGCCAGTTTCTCATGCGATGATGTGCATGAACTGCACCTCTGACTTCAGCCTCACGCTGAGACGACACCACTGCAACGCCTGCGGCAAGGTCAGACCCACGCGACAAAACACTGTCACTTGTTTGTGTGTCACTGACCTTGACTGGAGGCAGAACGGAAAGGAAGAAACTAACGTTGGTTGCAAATCTTTGCTGTCTCTGTGAACAGGTGGTGTGTCGTGCTTGTTCCAGGAACAGGTACCCACTGAAGTACCTTAAAGACCGGGTGGCCAAAGTCTGTGACCACTGCCATGCTGAGCTCAGGAAAAGAGGTGAATCTCAGCTTTAGTAGTGTCTCACTCCTGGGGCAGTACAGCGGGAAGGAAAACCTCATGGTGTTGCTCTTCCCCTTTGAAATGGTATTAACTCTTTCTGTGTGTGTGTGTGTGTGTGTGTGTGTGTGTGTAGGTGGCAGCGTGTCAGCGGCGTGGGGAAGCTCCAGTCCTCGGACACATCGGGCAAGCCGTCCGCTCTCAGCTGTCTTCCAGAGCCTGCAGCCACCGAGCTTGTGGAAGAGCAGGAAGAGTTCCTCCGCTCTCAACCAGGTGGCGTTAATGTGTCATCCGGAGCACTTTTTCATCCCAAACAAGCAAATGACAAGACTGACAATATACTGGAATCATTTTAATTACAATGCAAAGCCCTGCAGACTCGCTAATTAATTACTGGTTTTATAGTTTTAGTTCGCAGTGCAACATTAGTGGTGTTAGTCAGTTTAAGTTAAAAGATACGTTCCCTGACCGGGAATCGAACCCGGGCCGCGGCGGTGAGAGCGCCGAATCCTAACCACTAGACCACCAGGGACCTGCACCAAGGAGTGAATACTACTGTTGAAAAATCAAGACCTGCCACTAGGGTTCACTATTTTTTCACATTTCAACAGCAATCCTGCACCTGTAATAAAAAACACATGTACTAAACTTGTTCTCCATTCTTGTTGAAGTTTCGGGGTTTTGTTTGGGTTCCATTTTTTGGGGGGCTAGAAGTTTTCAGTACTTACCCCCATTCCGGTGACAGCCTTCATTAATTAAGGTTTGTATCTTTCATGCATTTCACCAGGTGTCGCTTACCGTGGAGGGAGCCACAATGAGCGGCAGCCTGCAGCGCCGGAAGAAGAGCAAGAGGAAGTGGAAGCGTCTGTGGTTCCTCCTCAAAGACAAGGTGCTCTACACCTTCACGGCCCGTGAGGTGAGGGGGCACAGAGTCTCCCACGCCAGCCCCAAAACACGTGCACACCCAATGACAGAACCCTGTCCTCTGAACCTTTGTTTAACACTCCCATTTCCACTGTTCAACCTCTCCTCCAGGGCAGAACACCGTCAAGTGACTAATGAAGGGATTCTCTGTGCTCTCTCTTTCTGTTTCTTTTGGCTTCTTGAGTGTTGCACTGCTTTTGAAATGTGTTATGCTTGAGATTTACATATTGCTACTTGATTGACGTGTTTATTTAACGTATACACTTGTGATTGATGTGTTTACTCTGGTTTCTTCAGGATAAAGTTGCTACAGAGAGCCTTCCTCTGCAGTGCTTCACGGTCAAACTAACAGAGAGGCCAGAGGGAGAGGAAAGCAACACATTCCATCTCTACCACAAGAAAACTCTGTATTACACCTTCAGGGCCGACGACCCACAGACAGCACGCAGGTTTGCATTCATTTGTGCATTCATCATTTTTTTGAAGGGACAGTCATCGCAATGAGAAACTGTGTGATATGAAGTAATTCGGTGTTGTATTTTGGGGACCACGGCAGAGGTTATGACCTCTGAACTTTGGTGTGAGTCAAGCTCCACAAACACTGGCCCCTTCGGTTCTTATAACGCATGCAGCAGTGTCTATCCGCGAGACCCACCTCACGTTTCTTGTGTTTCAGATGGGTCAATGCCATGGAGGAGGCCACGGTTTTGTAGCGCCCAAAGTGCGAAATGATCACGTCCTGCTGCCTGTGACTGCTAGAACTCCTGTGTGGAGCACAACATGGCTACCTGCTGCTACCATCACATTGACCTGTTTTGTGGAATATTACGTGAAAGTCTAATCACCGGATACGGCCGCGACCCAACGGAATGACGGTGAAAGAAGGAAACGAATGAAGGGAGAGTGAAGAACCTCTCGTTGGAGAAAGATCCCAACATTTGAAACCTCCAAGAGTCACATCGCTCCAGCCGAGGTGGAGAGCAGGAAGAGCTCCTCCGCCTTCATCAAATGCTTCTTCAAAGAAAAAAAACATTTTATTCACCAAGTTCTCAAAATCAACTCCTTCAACTTTGCTTTATTTCAGTGTCTTGAACCTGAGGTTCCACTGGACTACTGAACCACTCTTTGGTGGTTCGCGGGAGAATATTGCCAGCTCGATTTTTATACGTGAAACAGTTACAGCCTTTGTTAGTTTGATGGGTATAACACCACAAACAAACTTTGCTTTTTAGCAGTATTGGCAGCCAGTAAAACAAAAAAATATTGGTCACCATTTCAGATGATTAATATTCTGAATATATATTGTGAAGCATACACTGCAGATATGAAGTGAATTATAGGGTTTGTTTAGAAATGCTGTTACATGATGTTCTGAGTAAGATGTCATTTTAATCATCCCAGTGTGTGTACATTATATTGGTTGTGAAGTTTTACACAATGTTACTATTATATCGAATCTACAATATTTGGCATGACTCGACAGTATTTCTAAGGATGAACATTTTCAAAGATACTTTTTTGTATTTGAATCTGTAGGGTCTGAAAAAAAATGCATCCAGTGCTTAAGTGCCGATTGATTTCTTCCAGTTGTGCTGTGCTATTTGCAAATTGATTATGTGCCTGAAATGAAACTGTCCCCCTTTTTTCATCTTGATATTATCAAAGTACTGTACAACTGTCATATCACCGGAAGATACCTTGATAACATTAGCTTTTTATCTACTTGCGTCTACTATAACCTCTAGTATTTTCAACAGTTCACCATTTGGATGAACACCGATTGGAGCAACAGTCTCAGTTACACTGAGAAGATACTTTTGTGCCATTTCGATGACTGCTCTTTTCATGCTGTGCATACACTGCTGGATAAAATCACACCTGCACTCAAAGGGAATCACATGGTCATCATGGCGTCTTGTTTGGAATTTCACTTTTCTTTACTGCTTGAAATACTACGACCTGCATAAGATCTCCTGAATGACCTGCCGAGAGGCCTTTATCTACTAAATTTGGACGCCGGCTGTACGACATCTTTCAACGTCAAACTACGTTATTACAGTAAGTACAGATGAGTTGATCAAATACTATTTGGCTTTTCTACCTATTTCTTAGTGTTTGAATGGACTGTACCTCTTGCATATAGTGCATTGTAAATGTTTGTGTATATAGATACATATAGAAATAAACTCCTTTGAAAAGTGTACTCGACCCCCTTGTACAGTACTGTGCTTCCTGTTCTTAAACATGAGGCTGTTTATTTATTATATATTACTAAATATAAGCTTAGTATAAGTGATGAATTGTGGGGTGATGCTGAAATAACAACTCTAGCTCTATTTGTTGGTGTCCATTGTCCACAGTTTAGTTCAATGCCTCTCTCATCCAGAAGGGGGCAGCAGTACTTTGTACCATTCACCTTTAAATGACAGGTATTAATTATTCAAGCAGTTTCAATGGAAAATCAATAGAAACTTGTGTCATTGTTGTTTTAAAAACATTTATAGCTTTAGACAAATAGGATGGGGAAGGAGAGGGATTATATAATTTATTGTATACTGTATCAAAGTGTATTTGTCTATATGAGTTGTCCCCTTCTATGCTGCAAATATAGCGCACAGATGGATGATGACATGCTAGTTGATTTTCTCATCACACTGATGTAGCATTTGCCTACAATGGAACGATGTTGGTGTAAGTGGGGCATGTCCAGGTGCAGTCTCTTTGCAGGTTGTGTTTAAGATTCACGCAGCTCTACATCTCTATTAGACACTTTTGTTCACGAAAAGAGTGGCCCGCACTCCACTGTCCACTTTGTCCACTGATTTGTGATAGAAGTGTAATTATTAGATTCCAATCAATCCGATTATTGTAATAGTCAAAATTGCGGAATTTGTGTATTTTCCTGTTCTAATACGGGGAGCTGCGCCTCCTCTCGGATTGCGCAATCCCTCATAAACCCGGTTGAGCTTCTCATGTTTTTGCTCAATTGGAGCACATGCAATTTATGTATCTATATGTCACCAATGTAATGTTTGTACACGGTTTTATCACGTGTGCTCACATCCCATAGTCTGGCTCCCGTATTTCACGTATGTTAGTCTCGCTAATCTGATTTGAGCCAGTACCTCTCCCTGCCTGAAGGGGGCGTGTGGGAGCACGGGGGCTCGTTCTGCTGTTGTTTTTCTTCAGGCATTAGACTGGTGGCATAGTTCGCATCTGCTAGATAAAAGCATAATCGCACCGACCAAAGACGACAGCAATAATGTATTTTGAGACAAAGAAACTCTTGAAACTAAAAGAAGTTTAAGAGGACTTTTACACCAAAGTCTTAGACATGTTTTTCCAGAAGGTTAGGCCAATTCTTCTTCACGTTTGTTAGCCTAGCACCAGAAGTTGGTTGATGATTAGCAAGGAGATCAACATTAATTTGTGTGTCTTATTCATTCACTTGGCTCATGACGTCTACCTGAATTATCCTCTTTGGCTAAAAGCTGTCCTAAATCAGTTGCTCGCGTTTCCAAAAACTGCTCATTTGCGCTGTTTCCAGACTTTTTGTAGTCGATCGCCACCGAGCTAAAAACTGATGACAACTAACGATTGCGCAAAATCGAACTGTTATTTCACCGCGCTGATATGAACGCTCAGGTTGATGTAAACAGGTACCATTAGATTATGGCTCAATTCAGTACACGCCGTGGCTCACTCTCAACCAATCAGAACGCTTGATTTTATCTGCCCAGTATTATAAAAGAATATACGATATGGGATATGAAACATAAGCAGTAGTCGAAGGGTAAGCAGCCAGTTGAATGGTGAATTTATGCTACTTTGTTAAATTCATATATTTGTGAATATGAGTCAGTGACTCCCCAGCAACGAACCTCACTGTCCACAGTCAAGCGTATTTTGCATCTCCATGGACTGAGAGGCTGCCGTGCAAGAAGGAAGCCCTTGCTCCAAAAGCGGCACCTTAAGGCTCGACTGAAGTTTGCTGCTGATCACATGGACAAAGGTAAGACCTTCTGGAGGAAAGTTCTGTGGTCAGAGGAAACAAAAATCAAGCTGTTTGGCCACAATGCCCAGCAATATGTTTGGAGGACAAAAGGTGAGGCCTTTAACCCCAAGAACACCATGCCTACCGTCAAGCACGGTGGTGGTAGTTTTATGCTGTGGGACTGTTTTGCAAGTAGTAGGAGATGGGTTTGAGAAAGGGGAGCGTATGTCAGCTAAGCTAGTTGACAAAGTCTCACGGAAGAAGGGTGGAGCGGGGAGGAGAACTCTGGAGTTCGAGGAGGTTGGAGAAGATGGAAAAGAGCTTTTTGGGGTCAAAAAAATTCTAGATTTCTCACGGGTTACTTTAAGCCTTGTGTGTCATGGGTCCTTTGTCGCGTCATTACATGTTATGCCTGGATGGCACGCCCTGAATGTCTTGTGAGTCCCCAGTCCCAGTCTGCGTTTTTGCCCCTTGGCACATTTTGATTTTGACTATTAAAGTCTTTTTGTTGTCAAGTTTGCATTTAGGTCCTGCCACTGCCTACACACTGTTCCTGACAAGATTGGTAGAAAGAGCTTTTGGCAGCAGAGATAGAAGCAGAAAAAGAGGAGAGAAGAGATTGAAACGCAAGCAGGTCATCAGGTTGTTTATATTTACGCCATTTCCTTTGCGATGCTCACATGGCAGGCTCTCACGGCACGCAACGGTTCGTAAGAGGACCGAGAGTCTAGAGAGGAGGACAGAGTTGAGGGGAGAGTCTCTGTGGCAGCGTTCGGAGGTAGGAGTGAGAAGGAGTCAGTTGAGGGGAGAGCTGATAGAACGGAGGAGGGAGAGAGGGAGCGGATGTTGCGACGAACCATCACAGAGTCAGTTCGATGGGGCGGGGTCGTTAGTTAGAGAGTGGGAGAGAGTAGCAGATGAAGAAGTGGTCAGAGACATGAAGTGGAGTTACAGTGAGGTTAGACGTAAAGCAGATGTACTCAAGGTGATTGCCGACTTTGTGAGTTGGAGGAGAGGGACTGTGTGACAGTGCAAAAGAAGAAAGTAGGAGTAAGAGGTCGGATGACTTCTGTCTGGACGTTAAAGCGGCCCATGAGGATGAGAAGGCTGTTTTCAGGGAGGTTGGACAGGAGGATGGCTTACGAAATCCATGATTTCAAAGCCTTGTCATGTTTAATGAATGGTGAGAGGAGAGATACAGGCAAGCAGAGAAAGAAGCAGTTTTATTGTTCTACAAATTAAACAAGTTCACTGGTTATTTTTTTGTTTAATTTGCAGTTATTGAAATGAAAGGTTAAGTTGTGCTAGATGGCTGTCTAGCACAACTTGAACAAAAGACCATTGTTAAGGAAAAGCCCCCGAAAAATCGGGAGACAATTGGGAGACATCCATAAAGGACGGCTATTAGCATCCGTCCCCAGGTTTTAACATTACATTGTGAAAGAATGTTATTGTGTACAGTGTTTATATGATTTACATGACTATACTTTGTGTTTTGATTCATAGTGCACTCTCTTCATCTAACATGCTAATGTAATAACTAATATCTAATAACAAACTACAATTCTAACACTAAACATTACTACATGTATTATAATTTCCACCACTGGGGATGCACTTCTTGCACTTCTCGGTCTGCTCCGGGACTTCTATAGGCTCCATCCTGGTGCTCCGGGTGGTCCTCCTGGTGCTCCGGGTGGTCCGCCCGGTGGCGTCTGTCGGAGGGGGGGTACTGTCAGGAATTCAGCTTCCTGAACCGGGATTGTTACATTGCCACTCTAACCTGTTTTTTTCTGAGTTTCCCCAAACACATCCTGACTAATTATTCAACCATCGACACCTGCTGCTGCCTGCACACCCGGTCCTGATTACCATCCCCTTCACCATTTAAGCCGTGACCAGACAACCAGTCCCTGCCGGATCTTTTTTTCCGGATCACTAACCAGCAACCTGTTTCCCTGCCTACAGCTCATCACTTGGACTGCCCTTTTCCCCTGCCTAGCCGTTGACCCGACTCCAGCCCCCACTCATCACCACCCAACCAGACCAGACCTTCCCCACACCTTTTTTTTGCATAATAAATACCCACCTTTTATTTTGATTCTTCCGTGTGGTCTGCTTTTGGGTTCCCGTCCTGGACGATTCGTGACAGAACGATCCGGCCAAGATGAACCCAGCGGACCTAGAATCCGTACGACATGCCATCTCCCAGCAGGAAGACACGTTGGGACAGCACAGTCTGGCCCTGCATGAGATAACGACTGCTCTTCGTAGTCTGACCACAAGTCTTCCCACGGTCCAGGCTCAGCTCAGCGCTCCAGCAGTTTCTCCACCCCCGCCTGCCGTCCCAGAAGCCGCGTCGCTCCGAGAGCCCAAGGTTCCAACACCGGACAAGTATGATGGGGATTTGGGAGGATGTCGTTCATTTTTCATGCAATGTGACTTGGTTTTTGACCTGCAGCCCTACTCCTATGCTTCTGACAAAGCTAAGATTGCCTTTGTAATTAAACTGCTGTGGGAAGGGTCCTGGGGTGGGCGTCTGCCCTATGGGAACGACAGGACCCCTGCTTGGCCTCATACCGTGCCTTCTCAGCTAAGATGAGGGAACTCTTTGAACACCCCGTCCGAGGTAAGTATGCATCCAAGCGGTTGTGCTCTCTGCCACCAAGGTTCACGCAGCGTAGCAGAGTTGTCAGAGTTCCCCCCTCCAGACCCAGGTAAAGGCTGGTTTAGGTCTCCCTCTGGTGGATCTGGGAGAGGTTGGCCTCGCACGCACCTGTCTCAGCTCTGCAATCACGCACCTGCACCGGAGCCACAATCACCAGGGTATAAGAGGGAGAGCCTGACAACCGGCCGACGTCGGATCGTTACTCACGTCACGTATGTCGACCTCAGTCTTCGCGAGTCTCAGTGACCATCACCCAGTCAAGCCGAGAGCTGGCTGTTGTTCTCTTTTCATTCAGTGTTAATCCTGTTACTTACCCCTTGTCTCACCTCCTCGGTTACAGTGACACCTGTCTGGATTCCTGCACGTGGGAGGAGCACTGGGCACCGCGCACTGTCGAGGAGATCATCACCCGGGACCCCATCCTTCATCTGCACTCCTCACGCCCGCTCCTGCTGCACCTCCACAGTCGTGTCGATTAATAAACTGTTAAATTCACTCTCCTCCTGACGGCTGTGTCTGTCTGTTCTGCGTTTGGGTCCAGCCAAGTCCCCCACCTGACAGAACGATCCGACCAACTATGGACCCAGCAAACTTCGACACGGTACGTCAGGCGATCTCGTCCCAAGGAGCCATGTTGGGACAGCACCAGTCCTCCCTGCAGGGAATAATGGCCAGCCTGGACTCCCTGTCGAACAGTATCGCCGCGATCCAGGCGCACATCAGCGCACCACCCCAGCCTCCGGTTCCGAGCCCTTCTGAACCCGTTTCTGTGGTCATGTCCATGCCAGACCACGAGCCCCAGGTCCCCACGCCGGAGAGATATGACGGACACAGCGGCCGGTGCCGCTCGTTTCTGATACAGGTGGGACTGGTGTTCGAGCAACAGCCCCGCTCCTACCGGAGCGAGCGAGCCAAGATCTCCTACATTATTGGATTACTGCGCGGGGAGGCTTTGGAATGGGCATCTGCCGTTTGGGAGAAGCAGGGCGCAATCGCCCAATCATGTGAGTTATTCACCGCGGAGATGCGGAAGATTTTCGATCACCCCGTTCGGGGAAAGGACGCTTCAAAGCGATTGTTATCACTGCGGCAAGGGACACGCAGTGTTGCCGATTATAGCATAGAGTTCCGTATCCTAGCTGCGGAGAGTGGCTGGGATGAGGAGGCACTACAGGGGGTGTTCTACAACGGACTAAATGAGGGCGTTAAGGACAGTCTACTCTCCTACCCCGAGGTACAGGGACTGGAGGAGCTGATCTGTCTCACCACACTATAGGGACAGTACTTTGATAGGGAGCGGATGCGTGAGCAGGGCTCTGCACCAAGGGGATCGCCGTGCTCCAGAGTCGACACTCCTGAGAGGGTTACAGACCCTGAACCCATGCAACTGGGCCGTACCCAAATTTCGGAGGCGGAGCTTCTGCGCAGACGCACAACTAACTGCTGTCTCTATTGTGGCATGTCGGGTCACTTTCGCTCTCGTTGCCCATTAAAGGGGGGAAACGGCCCCGCTCACTGGAAGTAAGGAGGATTCTAGCGAGCGAGAGTCTATGCCCCTCCCCACACATATCACGGACTCCGCTGAAGATTTCAGTCAGCAACGGCACTGCAGCAATGGCAGTGGAGGGACTCATTGACTCCGGGGCCGATGACAATTTTATGGATCATAACCTTGTAGACCGATTAGGACTCCGTAGAGTTCCGTTAGAGGAAGTTATTGAGGCGAACTCCCTAGATGGCAGACTACTGGCCAGAATCACGGACAGAACGGAGCCGGTCCAGCTTCAAATATCAGGTAACCATTTTGAGCAGATCAGCTTTCTTGTTTTCAAGTCCCCTCTGGTACCGGTTGTGCTGGGCTACCCCTGGTTAGCAAAGCACAATCCTTCAGTTGACTGGTCCACCAGCTGTATTCTGGGTTGGAGTGATTTCTGTCTGGCTAATTGTTTACAGTCCGCCCGTCCCCAGGGTCCCCAGCAGGGGAGTTTGACGCCTGGCCCCGACCTCACTCTGGTACCGCCTGCTTATCACGACCTGGGCAAAGTATTTAGTAAAGAGCGGGTCCTATCTCTACCCCCTCATCGGCCTTACGATTGTCACATTGAACTGCTGCCCGGGGCCTCCCTACCCAAGGGTAGACTCTACAATATCTCCAGACCAGAGCGAGAGGCCATGGAGAATTACATCAGGGACTCACTGGCAGCTGGAATCATCCGCCCCTCTTCCTCTCCGCTGGGCGCAGGTTTTTTCTTTGTTAAGAAGAAGGACGGCACACTCAGGCCGTGCATTGACTATCGGGGGTTGAATAACGTGTCTGTCAAGAACAAATACCCGTTACCACTAATGAACACTGCTTTTGATTCATTACAGGGCGCTACTGTGTTCACAAAGCTCGACCTCCGCAACGCCTACCACCTGATCCGCATTCGAGAGGGGGATGAGTGGCTCACAGGGTTCAACACCCCCCTGGGCCACTTCGAATACATGGTTATGCCATTCGGTTTAACTAATGCCCCAGCCGTGTTCCAATGTCTAGTTAATGACGTCCTAGGTGACATGCTGGGTCGCTTTGTTGTTGTCTACCTGGACGACATACTTGTGTTTTCACAGAATCTGGAGGAACACCAGAGACACGTCCGCCAGGTTCTTCAGCGGCTGCTGGAGAACAGACTCTTTGTGAAAGCGGAGAAGTGTGAATTTAACACCAGGTGCACAAGCTTTCTGGATTATGTCATCGCCGAGGGAGAGGTAAGAATGGACCCCCAGAAGGTGCAGGCCGTCCTGGAGTGGCCCAGACCCAGCTCCCGTAAGGAGTTACAGAGGTTTCTGGGGTTCGCTAACTTTTATAGGCGGTTCATCCGCAACTACAGCCAGATTGCAGCCCCCCTAACTGACCTTACCTCCAATCTCAGAGCGTTTCGGTGGTCTCCTGGGGCAGAGTCCGCCTTCCAGGAGCTCAGGGAGCGTTTCTCGTCGGCACCCATTCTCATCCAACCGGACCCGTCCCTACAGTTCGTAGTAGAGGTCGACGCATCGGAGGTCGGAGCTGGGGCGGTACTCTCCCAGAGAGCTAAGGAGGACAACAAGCTCCATCCCTGCGCGTTCCTCTCCCATCGGCTGTCACCGGCAGAGAGGAACTATGACATTGGCAATAGGGAGTTGCTTGCGGTGAAACTGGCCCTCGAGGAGTGGAGGCATTGGCTGGAGGGGGCGGACCAACCGTTTGTGGTGTGGACGGACCACAAAAACCTTGAATACATCCGGAGTGCCAAACGACTAAATTCCCGACAGGCTAGGTGGGCGCTATTCTTTGGACGCTTTGATTTTGTTCTGTCTTACAGACCCGGATCCCAGAATGGGAAGCCCGATGCCCTGTCCAGGGTCTTCTCAAAGGAGGAGGAGACGAGGAGGACGCCAGAGACCATCCTGCCATTGAGGCGGGTAGTGGGAGCCCTCCAATGGGGCATTGAAGGAGCGGTTCAGGCAGCCCTTAGGAAGGACCCAGGCCCGGGTAAGGGACCTCCGGGTAGGCTGTTTGTCCCCGAGGGAATGCGACCGGCGGTGTTGGAGTGGGGCCATGCCTCCAAGCTGACTTGTCACCCGGGTGTCGCACGTACCATGTCCTTTCTGCGGCGACGGTTCTGGTGGCCTGCTATGGGGGAGGACGTTCGGATGTATGTGGCGGCTTGTCCGGTGTGCGCACAAAACAAGGGCTCAAACCGGCCAAGCGTGGGGTTATTGAGGCCATTGCCCATCCCTCATCGTCCCTGGTCCCACCTAGCCGTGGACTTTGTCACTGGACTTCCCCCGTCCGGGGGTAACACGGTGGTATTAACAATCGTGGACAGGTTCAGTAAATTTGCTCATTTCCTACCCTTGCCCAAGCTCCCATCGGCCAAGGAAACAGCGGACATTATGGTGCGGGAGATATTTCGTATTCACGGCCTGCCTACCGACATTGTTTCGGACCGTGGCCCTCAGTTTGCATCAGCAGTGTGGAGGGCTTTTTGCACGGCAGTCGGAGCTACTGCCAGCCTCTCTTCCGGGTTCCATCCTCAGACTAACGGCCAGGCAGAGAGGGCCAACCAGAAGATGGAGTCGACCCTACGATGCCTGGCTTCCTCTGAACCCTCCACCTGGTCTGAGCAGATCCCATGGGCGGAGTACGCCCACAACACGCTTCCCACTACAGCGACAGGTATGTCCCCATTCCAGTGTGTTTACGGCTATCAACCTCCCTTGTTCCCGTCCCAGGAGAAGGAGCTGGCCGTACCATCGATACAGCAGCAGTTTCGCCGATGCCATCGGACCTGGCACCGCGTCCGGGCATCCTTGCTGAGAACCTCTGAGCAGTACCAGCGACAGGCTAACCGCCGACGCACCCCGGCACCTTCATACTCAGTGGGAGACAGGGTTTGGCTGTCAACCAAGGACCTGCCCCTCCGCACGGACTCAAAGAAGCTATCGCAAAGGTTCATCGGCCCCTTCCCCATCGAACGCATCATCAACCCCACGGTGGTCCGTCTCAAGCTCCCTCGGTCCCTTCGTGTACACCCAGCG